GTGTCGAATCTAATACATAAAATGATTCGAGTCCACTCGAACTAAAAAGTTCAACATTTTGTTTCAAAGTTAGAATTTAATTATATTGTGCCGAATAAGATGGCTCGAGGTCCATCAGTAAAATCCACCATGGCGGTCAACGAGAATCACCATGAAGAATGAGCTCGAGTGTAAATATCCTCTGCACGAAACAAAGACGCCACTCACCGCAGAAAAAGGCGGTTCATTCTAAGGATTTTTCTCCATTTGTTGCTTTCGCTGATGCAACGAAACTGGGAACAAAATGTCGCCTTCTTCTTTCAGTGACTGATAAGTAGTACAGCGCATGTCATGCATGGCAAATACACTCAGTGACGCTGGCGTTTCCTGCCAATTCTGCCATTTTGCTTTCTGAATCGCGTCTTCTGATTCGTGCATGAACTTGTAAACATCTAGTAGTTAAAATGATTTATGCGTTCGATTTCGCTCATGTGAAATTCGACGTTTATAACAAAAACAGTCAAACTTTTGTCAGTTTGACTGACCATGCTACGGCAAAAGCCGCATTTAGTTCAAATCTGTCGAATTTCGTTGATTTAAACGTCGCTGAGTTTCATATGTATTTTAACTGTGAATTAGATTCGGCACGCATGAAATGCTACTTTGAAACTTGAAACTTGTCACCGTTTGTTCATATCTTTCTATGAGCCCTTTCTTACTGACAAGGTTACTTAACAAGCCCCCAGAGTAACAATTTCCATATATGCCTCTTGTCCTTTCAGTTGCTTACAGGCAAACATAGCCTTCACTTCGTCTCGCCGCTCAGTCTTACTCACCTTAATAACTGCATTTACAACTCGTAAACCCGAAGTATAGGGGTTTTGCTCACAACAGAAAATTACCTTTTACCACAATTTTGAGGACAATAGCCATAATGCCATCTCTCCCGTCCCTATCCCCCCCAAACAATGATACATTTATCACAGTCAAAGCTGCAGGGAAAATTACCAGTTCTCCTTAATTAATTAGTAATATTTAGCACTGTTTGTGAACGGTCCGTGGAACAAAAAGGTCTCCCTCAGAGGCCTGTCACAAGACAAATACATAAAAGCAAACATCATATTTTTTTTACAGTTGGAGGCAAAATTAAAGGTAACTTTTGTTTGAATTTCCGCAGTTTAAGCCCCCAGGTTAAATATATCACAGTTGTGTAATACCAACTTTCATGGCATATTCGATTCTTGATAACATCAGCAAAAGGAATTAAGATAGCGTACTCTATTTGAAAAGAAAACAGATTTGCCAGAAAGCCTTTCCATCGTTTGCTTTGTTTAATTATGTAAGTAGAGCCGATGACGCCAGCGGAAAATGTGTTATAGACTTTTGCAGGCAAAATAAACATTATCAATTTTCACTTTCAAAACTGTCTAATTGCTGTGTATTTGCTTTCCCTCACGGCTTAATTTGTCACATTTCAAGCCAGGTTATTCGTTTCTCTTGAAATTCATCGGAGGAGTCGCGGGACAATAATTTTAGTTTTTAATAACCTAATCCCGAAGGAAAAATCTATTAAATTTGGCATCTTAAGAGTCAGATTAAAATATTCCGCCAAATTTGCATGTTGTATAAAGGCATTGATCAAAGCTTAAAAATTGACTCACCTGCACTTGTTTGCATTGTCGTCATGGGAGACTTACAAAATACGACGAATGTTCTCAGTTACTTCACCATCTGCAACCAGAATTCGTTTATTATCAGTCGCGTAGAACATTATCTTTTCATGTTGCTCGTAATATCAAGCAAAGATCTTTGATCATACCATTTCGAGAATGAGCCCTATCTCGACTGTCATATTGTGGAAGTTCGTCGTATTGTTGAAGGTGATTTTCTGTGTAGATTCACTTGCAGGGTTTGGGTTGGTCTGTGCCGAGTTATGAGGCAGGCTTGTGAACTTCTCGAACCTTGTTTGATTCATTTGTTTTGTTCCTTTCTTTATAGGCCGCCCAATTTTCCACAGAGCAGTTTGCAAACAGTAAGTAGAGACATTCTATTTCTTCATTAAGTGCCAGCAGTAGCTCTTAAATCCTTGTTTTCTCAGTCTAAGAGGAAAATATAAGATTTTTCTAACTGCTCTTTCTCCTATTTCAACAAATAGACATTCAGTGAAATAGCTAAGTTAGATAAAGAAATTGAACTCAAATAAGGTTTCCTCCCTTTTCCCTCACCCCTTAATAATATTTTTGTCTGCCATTTTCGAAAACAATACCCCTACTTAAAATTAAAACAAGGAAAGACCATGTTGACTCAAATATGATCAAAATCTTTCATCTGTCAACAGTGTCCCTTTTGTTGTGAAAATTCTTTGAAATAAACAATCTCACTTTTTACGGAATCCTCCTAAACACGTTAGTTTATCAAAAGCCGACAAGCTTTTTACACCTAATATTCTGCGCAATTGACATTTTGGTCCACAAATTTGATGCACTGTTTAGTTTGTGTGAAGGAAAACGTTGTCATTAATGACAGGAGGAATGATTGACGCCATACTAGTGACCAACAGGATAAGTCAAGTTTAATTTGCAAGCGATTTTAATTACCATCTTCAAAAACTAACCGGAGTGGCACAATATACCCGCGGTGCATAATCGTTTCCACCTATTTGAATAATAGTTTTATGCACTTTCGCCCCCGTAGCGCAGTCGGTCAAAAAGATAATTCTCTCTCTTACGTATATTCAGCAGTGATTTCTTTTTTTTTTTTTTTTTTTTCAATAATCAACAACTTAAAGTTGCATCTACGTGGGTTTGTAATGCTCTGGTACTTTGCCCACCGACTGCCATATGACGGCGTTTCTCATAATTTGGAGAGCGAATCTTCGCGCAGGATATCGTTTTGAAATTGCTTCTGTTAGTTCGAAACTTTTTAATAGTTGTTTGTGAAATGCCATTAAAAAAAGGAAAATAAGTAGATTGAGGCATATTTTATTTGCACAATCCATCTAAAAAAGGCCTTTATCAATCTCTTAGTAAAGCCTGCGATCAGGCGAGTTTTTTTGAGCCTCCGGTCTGATCAGTGTGCGAAGGCGATAGGTTCGACTATTATGTTTTTATCATCATCCCTCGCAGTGTATTTTCTTGTGTATTGTTGCATATGTATGTAGCACGGCTGACCCCAATAGCTGTTACTACAGTTATCAGCGCTTTATCATAAAAACGAGGCGATAGGGTCAATTCTGGTTTGTATTGACCCACCCGCCTCGTTTGCATGCCTTTTTAAACAAAAAAATATTGGACCGCAGACTCAACTGTAATAATGTTTTGCGAAACCTCATCTTATAGACACGGTTGAAATAAGTACAGTACTAAAAAGCAAGGTTTCAGCAGCAGGAAACTAAAGGTTTCTTTTACTTTGTTAAGGACTTAAGTAAGCAAAGCAATGTATTCCAGAGTACTGAGACGCAATCATACGGTTTTTTTTTTCATTATCCTTTTAGTTGCCTCTTTTACGCAACATTTTCTCTAAAAAGCAAAACGTTTTCTTTTAATGTCAATAAACATTTTAGCAATCTATAAGTTATCACGATGGTAAGACCAAATTCCTTTTTACGTATAAAAAGCGCATTTTACTTGATGAAACACTATTCAGGTAAAGAACTATTCTGCAAAAAAA